GTTACCGTACAGTATTTCCAAGGCTCCGCTACAATGACGACGTACCTTGTACCCGGTTCTCCTTACATCACATTGCAATACAATCAAGCTACTCCGCTATTGAAGACAGTGAACGGAGGTATCACGGCATTCAACGGAAACTCCGTAGCCTCTGGAGCAACCGGTACGCCCAATTCCCTTATTACCGCGATACAGGCGACTCATAAGTACTGACAAGTGATGAAGTCAGCGCCACAGGCACAGAATTCACAGTGACAGACAGCGAAAGCACTCAATACATCATCTACTCGCTGTCTTCCATCACCCTGGCGGCCACGGCAACATCATCCTCAAGTGGCACTATCAAGGCGTCAAGCACATTCACTGGAGTGCTTCGTCTCGTCAAGCTGAATGATGCAAGCCACAAGACTCTTCTCGATGCCCACTCTAGCGTCTATCCCACTTCCGTCGGACTCGACTACTCATTCGCTGACACTACAGGGACATTGATCTTCAACTACGCTACTGTGGGCACCTCGTCTGACCTCCTCATGCTTACATGGCCGCATCATCGGCTGGCACTGCAGAGTCCCAATTACCCAGCAACAACTGCCTTGAACTATCTCACTGCCAAGGTAAGTGGTATTGCCTCTGCTACGAAAACATTGCAGCCATGCAGCCTCCCAATTCGCTGACCCATCTCATAGGGCTGGATGTATCCGATCATTGGCGCCCAGTGGAATCTCAAATATACTCTGTCTTCGATCACCTGGAACCCACCACGTGCCGTCGACTCATCTTGCGAGTCTACCTTGATCCAAGGCTTGGAGTACGAGATTGGGCAACTCAATGTCTCTACAGCGCCTGTTCCTGGAGATTTCTACTATTGGGTATGTGACATCCTTCCCTTTTTACTGGGAAATTTGCTACAAGACTGACTTAATACAGTATGTCGATGACCTCACCTAGTGATTCTTTAAGCCTAGGGTTGCCCTCTGTGCATTCTCATACTGATAGTGACTTAGGGGTGGTGCGCTCGCTGCCACATCTCGATTGGCGCTGATCGCGTAAGTCACCTCACCATCACCTAATTCCTCTTCAACATGATGATATTCCGGTCGCTTCGATCAATATTCGCTGAAATAGTATCTTCTTCACAGAGACAATGTTGGCCGGTCGGATCTCGTGACACCGGTGATCAACTACCTCAAAGCATCATTCGAGCACTGGTTTGAGTCTTCATCGACCACAAAGCCAGCCTACGAGACCACTTGGGGCGGGATCGTGAGCCAGGCGGGCGCCAAAGATGTCAATGTTGACTTCGGCAATGGGTACTACAACGATCATCACTTTCATTACGGATATTTCTTGCATATCGCCGCCGTCATTGCCAAGTACGACTCATCGTGGCTAAGCCAGCACAAGACCACCATCAACACTTTCGCAAGGTATGCATCACGAATTTATCATTGTCATACCTGATTTGTGAAAGAGCTCACATGCAAACCATTCCTGCAGAGACATCATCAATCCGTCTTCCCAAGATCCCTACTTCCCCATCACTCGATGCCGTGATTGGTTCGCAGGTCATTCATGGGCATCCGGAATCGCCAATGGCGCAGGGTCACGAGACCAAGAGTCCATCGGAGAGGCCGTCAACGGATACTACGGCGCCCTTCTTTGGGCGAGCATCGCTCTCTCCCAGGACTTTGTCAACTATGCCAAGCTTCTTGTTGCCACAGAACAGCAAGCCGCGCAGGTGTACTGGCATCTGTATCCGAGTGAGAGCTCGACTGATCGAGACAACCCTTATCCTGAAGAGGGGATTAGAGAACTGATCACAATGGGTAATGTCGAGGATTGGCAGTCCGGCGCCTGGCTGTTCTGGGGATCTGAGAGAGTCCAGATCGCCGCTATCCAGATACTGCCTGTGACGCCGATCAATGAGGTACGTCACCAGCATAGCCAACACCGGACCGGTTGCTAAAACCATGTGACATTCAGGTCATGTATGACACAGAATGGGTCAACAACGTCTGGACATACACATCCGGCGAGATGAAAGATCCCTCCATTGGGGACGAATGGTATGCCCCCCATGCTCGCCTTAGATTCCTCAAATCTTGTATCCTGACTCCGTCACCACAGGAAAAACGTAATCATCGCAGCGTACTCCAACGCAAACCCACAAACGGCAGCAGCCTGGAGTGCCAACATCTCAACTTGGGGTAAGCATCTCACACACTCCACGTCAACAGTCACACCCTCTATACCAAAGCAAGCTCCAATACTCGAAAAACAAGTACTCACAACCCCAACAGGTTCCGGAAACACATACTCCAACGAACTCTTCTTCATAAGCACGCGCCCCAACCCCTCCGGAACACCAATCTGCAGCGCCCTCCCATCCAATCCCTACGGCTCCTTCAAAATCCAAGTCGCATCCTCGGGCGCATACGTCGCCGTCTCGTCCTCAAACACCAACCTCATCGCATCCACCACCACAACCGCAGCGGTATTCAAAAGCGCCTATCGCCCAAACGCCGGGACTCTCCAACTAAGCAGCACGAGCCAATTTGTGACGGCGGACTCAAGCGGTACCTATGCCCTCTCCGCCGCGCGGGCGACGGCTTCAAGTTGGGAGACGTTCATCATCCGGCAGAAGGTCGGTGCTGCGACGGGCGTGTACTCGATTAAGGCCAGTAGCAATGGGTACTACGTCACGGTAGATGGGGATGGATCGCTGAAGAATAGTGCGGTGAATGAGGCGGATAGTGCGGGGTTTAAGTTTGTTGCTTCGTAGACTCTGGTTGTTCAAGTCGACTTGTGCCCGATAGGCGATAGCTTTCTGTAAAAGTTCATTGTATAAAATGTGGCTATTGTGAGCGTTGTGGTGAAATACAAATGGACAGCTGACATCGAAAGAAACTTGCAAGTACATGGCCACATGGCACACACGTGGTTCGCAAGTAGATCCGGAGAAGCACCCAGTCTGAATCATGTAAAAAAAGATTGCATTGTGCTATACGTAAATATCGAAACGGTTTGCATCCATACCTAACTGGTCCGCAACGCCTTTTCTAGACCGCGGACGAAATTGTTAATGAGGAGCAAAGGCTACTTGTAAATCGATCGAACATCTTCAATCGATCCCTATGCTCGTCAAAGCACAGAAGGAATTATTAGACAGCCGACTATGACGATAGAGGGTTGAGAGGCTGAGGTTACTTATACCACACCGCCAGTTACGAGCGCTGCTGTGTGGGTGTGTTTACGCTACTGGATTGCACCATTCCAAGACCCTGCCGCAATGTGATTAGCGATTTCAGAGACATCATCTGGTAAGCTGATGAACGGCTGATGTATGTCTGCAACGTCTCAATAGGTGTATTGAACTACCTATCTATGCCTTTTGGTGATGGCACCTTCTGTCTGATCATTACACCTTATTTTTCGTGAAGTCAGAGCTAAAAACAGCAACAAGTACGTCAACGCTCTCTAGAATGATCCATACGGGCAGCGCCCTATGCAAGTCTGTCAAGGAGTAGCTCTCCTCGGAAAACGTCCTCATAACAATTCATCGATGCCGGAATGGCAAATGGGTATAGTCTGGGGGCAACAGCAATGAATGTTGGAGATGAAAACGAGATCGAACCATCGGCATCAGTCAAGACTTCTTCTGTGTCTGTGTGCCTCCGCCGCGGGGTCTGTTCTTCGGTCGTGGTTGCTTCTCGTACGCATTCGGGCTCGGTCTCCTCCTCGTGCCATCCCCTCGGGCTCTCCTGCTTCTTCCGCCTGGCTGCTCGTGATTGTGATTGTTTCCGTGTTCGCAACCCTCATCGTGATTATGATCGTGATTGTGATTGGGACGCTGTTGGTCTCTCGCTCTGCGCTGGGCTAGCGCTCTCTCGCGGGCATCGTACTGGCCACCACCGTCGGAATCTGAGTCGGAAGAGGATGAATCTGATGATGACTCGTCGGAGGATTCGCCCACAGCGCGGGGCGCGTGATAAATGCAGCAGACTGTGTTACTAGTAAGTCCTCATATCGTATTTGAGTTGCTTAGAGGGGTGTAGCGGACCTTTGGAGCTCTTGCGCCCGAGTCCTTCGTTGTCCACTACGCTCTCGGCCCACTGCACGCGGTTCTCTGACGGCTGATGGGCGCCTCGTAGGCGCAGAATGGCAGGTGCTGCAGGCGCGGGCGCGGTCGTCTGTGTCTGTGTCGCTGAGCCTGAAGGTGCTTCGGTGCGTCTCTGGGCTTGTAGGCGCAAGCCTGGTGCAGATTGCGTCTGCGCCTGCGGGCGGGAATTGGAACTGGACATGGTGGGAGAAAGGAAGGGTAGTGAAGCTGGATGGACAACTAACTTGCCGGTGTCAAGCAGGGAATATCGGTCAAGAGAGCCAGTCAATCGTGGGTGGAGAGGTGCGGAAGATCGATGAAAGCGGGATACGCTATAATCAATAGGTAGACCTACGCCTTTGCGTGGCTGTTGTCGAAAGTTTAGAAATGACCCCTCGGCCGGGCACCTGCAGACGCGTTAAGTGGCACGCGATGAAAGCCGCGAAATGACGTCAACCTGGTGGGTAGGGTACCTACTGTACCTTTACCTAACCTGTAGCCATTGCCAGCCAACAGTCAACACTCAATTAACAACCGGGTCGGAAAGCTGTTGGCGCCACAGACAATGCTGACACACATAAGCCATTGTTCAAATGCCCGTGGCGAATGATGTTGCCGCCAATTATTTGCAGTTTGTTGGAGGGGAGAGGGGGAATGGATGTTCTATTTTTAGAATTACACGTGTTATGCACTTATAATGTACAGTATACATATGTGACATATTGCAAGCGTTGCATTCGCTACGTGAACATCACCAGACTTTAAAAACAAAAAAGCCGCACGTTATTAAGAAGTCATTAAGTTGCGAAAAGGCGTGGCTATGACAACCAGTGTGTCATTATGTGCAAAGGTGGGAAAGTACACGATATGGCATGGGAACCAAAAACTATCCAGAAAAAATTGAGCTCGACCAGATTTGAACTGATGACCTTGTGGAGTCAGACTGAAAGCGTCCAGAGACGCAAACAACTGGAATCACACGCGCTACCGCTGCGCCACGAACCCCGCTTGTTAAAAACTGCGCAAGTTATGGGGTACTATAGCTGTGTGTACGAAGAGGCTGTGTGGTGATGTTTGTAGACGAGAGGTTGTGTGTGTGTGGTGGGCCCTAAGGGCTTATCGACCCCACTGTATCCCTAGACTACCTACCGACCCCGCGAATACCGTCTTATCAAATTAAGGTTTATAAAAGTATCTTATTAAATAGTGTTCCATTCAAGCTAGTATAAATGTAAAGCTTTATTGAATGAGTATCAACCATATATTAATCAACCTATAAATACACGATACGTTACATGTTTAATCACCGCAGGGCTGGCTTAGCAACTGCCACCTTAGCTATTGCCAAGCGTAGGCTCCTCCTATGCAACCTCAAAACGCCTGCAACTTGGAACTTTGACCTCCTAGTTTCAAACCCCCTTGACAGGCTTGGAGCACAGCGACCTCGCATAGTCCATCAGGTCAACGCCTTGTTTGGGGAGTGAAGCGGGGAGCCGGTGTTTATACTTGTAGACAATGTCAGGGAGAAACGTTGCCGTTAAACCCGTCCGGAATAAAGACCTACATATGATTGATATTCTCTGCGACAGAAGCCATAGATCACGTGGGCGCTCTCAGCAGTGCGAAAGGCATAGAGGAGTTTGATAAAACAGACCTCAAAGTCCAGAGGGGATCGTGAGTTCCCCCAGTAGATTCGGTCGTTGAAGAATTGTTGCATGTCAGAACCTAAGGAGGGGCGCAGTCTTCTCGGGAGATACTAGGGCAGTCATGTCGAGCTGTGGTTGACACACCGTTTGAGTGAATATGGTATCTTATTCTGGGTCGAATGGTGAAGTCCTGCTTTGGGAAAGTTTGAAATCCCTTTCAAGCTTGAAACATTTGAACATACGCGGGCTACTGCGAATCGAGCCTGAAATCCTATCTGTACGATCAGATAATAGGACGGACTGACCAGCTCGGTGAAAGGTCCCAAGCCGAAACTCACAGACGATGTGTGACTTTCGGGAAATGCAGTGGAAGCAGGCCAAAATGGCGAAATCGGGGCTTCATAATAGGGCTGTGAAAGATTATGTATGTGCATGGGTAGTATATGGCCTAATAGATGAGATCCTTGCTACGAGTCAGATTCGCCGCCACGACTGTGTCATACGTTCACAATACCACTTTCAGCACCGGGTGCTTCGCTGAGATGCTCCTGACTGCAACTACCTTCTAACAGATGACACCATGATGAAGCAGGTCTCGCACGGCTCGAGGATTGTCCACATCTGCCTTCTAGGTATCATTGAAGTTCGTGTCATCAAGTACTCTGGTCTATGCCTATACTTTTTACTGATGTCCTTGATCTGTAAGAAGTGGGCTGAGATGGCTTGCCTCAGACACAAAGTCGTTTCCCGTTGCAAGAAACACAGTGGTGTGAGCTGTCACCGTGTGATTCATTATCGATTTGAGCTCATCTGGGCATCGACTTCTTCATTGCCATGGTGATGGCTATATTAAGTCGCAAAATTTAACCACCTGAAGTTCATTTGTCATTAATAATGTCAACAGTTGCACCACCGAGACGCAGCTCAATTCCGAGCCCGATCACGTTCATCAGGTTCATACAAACATTTCGAAAGGCGCGTTCGAAAATGCTACCTATATTCACATCTCCCCAAACGTAGGATGTAAGTCTATCAATCCGATCGAGTGTCGCTGGGCCAATGAAAGGGAACCAAGAAGAGGTTTACACTAAACACAGGGGTCTCCCGAATCGTGGGCCCATGTTAATTTCCAACTGTTTTGCATATTTGTACTGGTGAAGGATCCGGGACACAACATTCGCATCACTGGATGATGTGGCACGAAAAATCCACCTGGCCTGGTCATAATACTTGGAAAGAGGTGTGTCGTGATGGTAGCACATGGATCCGTTGTTTCCGTGGCTTAGTCTAAAAGGACATCGTGGGCAGCATTTGCACCCGATATTCTGATCAAAGTCATAAAGAAGTTCGTCCACGCGGGAGCGCGTTATAGGACCAAGACCCATGTGATAATTGAGATACAGAGGCGCTTTCCCCAAGACATCTCTAATATGAGACGAGGCTGGTTCGAAAACGTGGGGGACTTCAGTGTCCTTAGGAGAATTCGGGACGTCGTGCTGGCCATCCATGAATCCTAAGAGAAAGCAGTCACCAATGACTCGATACTTTTCAATGCTGCCTTCAACTTTTCTGAGGGTTAATGGCACTCGAGAGCCGGGAATGATGAATATGCAATCCCCTTGCTGAATACTAATTGGACCCCAGCCCTGAGTACCATTGGTAGTCGTGAAGAGCCGTTGCTTATAAGACATGACCTTCAGCACGGTCGTAAAGCCCAACGGGTCCTCAGGGTTTCCTCGTGGAGTATCCTGAGTGCAGTCAATGAACCAGTCGAGTAAAGCGCCCAAGTCATCTTCCTGTAACCTCTGAAAGCTATCAGAGACAAATTTAAGATCAAATACCAGAGCCCTCAACTGGGGTATAATGAATCCAGCTGAGGTGCGAAACAATAGGTTAGAGTCAGAGGCTGCGACGGGGCTGGCCTCGCGTATTAAGAACCAATCGCTCTCATTAATGAAGGGGAAAAAGTCTTGGGGTTTCACGTCTCCGAAAAATGGCCGTGATACCATATCGACATTTCCGATAGGAATCCCTTCAGTCCAGAGCTGCAAAGGCTGGAAAATATAGGGAGACGAGTCGAATACGCCCTCGGGCAAATACGGCTGACAAAGAGAATTTAGAGACATCGAGATTTTGTGAAATGATTGTTCGCGACTTGAAAATTTGTCAAACAATCTGTGTAACTCAGGAAAATCTGGTATACCATCACCAAACCTCGCAGAGTAAGACATAGGATGGCAACAGTATTTCCATCCGCCAGAGGCATTGTAAAGCTTGGCGCCAGATTGCCGTTTGGAACACCTATCATCAACTGGAAAACTCCAATCAGGGACCCAAGTCGGCACACCAGGCTGCGTTTTGCTGCCTATATCGTGGATAAGACCGTCAAATCCTCTCTGTGCATGTATGATGGCGCGTGCGACTTGGCAATATGCTGTTCCAACATCCACGTCGTAATCTGGAAATAGTTGGAGACTGTCCGCTGCAAGGCCAAACAATGCATAAACCTTATCTCTGTCGTCTGATGCGCGACGATGTGCTGTTTCGCGCAACATGGCAAGAAGTGTCCGTGCGCTTTGTTCTGGAGTAGTGTGCTTGGCTAACATTGCTTGAGTGCTCCAGGCACGCCGCCGCTCTTCGATATCTCCAACTTGACGCGCAAGCCGGTCCAATACTTTGGCATCGTCGTCTTGTATAGGCAACTCCTGGCCAATATACTTGGATCGCCACTGGCTTGTGGTAAGGAGGGTAGACCATGAGATCGAAGAACTTCCATAGTATACAAGAAGTTTTCTCGAAACGATAACTTCCTGATAGACCCACATTCGTAACCACCAGGCACTCATGAGCATCAGGCGGACTGCCTCAATTATTCTACTCGTTTGCCTTTGACCGACCGACTCCACAAAGTGTGTTAGACCTCCACAATCATTAGGGTCTAAAGCACGGAGCAGCGAAAACACTTCCTCTGCATTCGACTACGGGGAAGACTTCTGATCAGTATATTGCAACTTCTAACGGGAGACGGAGTGGCGTTATCTCTTACCTCAAGCTCCTGCCTCCCAATAGCACGTTTGGAGGTCGTGGGACAGGGATCGCGTTGGTGTCTCTCGTCGCCAAGAAAGACAAGTACTAGAGAAGCTTGACCAAATATCTCTCGCATCATACCAACTTGCTGACTTCTTTCGTACGCATCATCCTGGTCGATACACTGTTCTTGTAAGTTTAACTGAAGAGAAGCATTCCTCCGCAATCCGCTAACTCACAATAGCATCAACCCATAAGTCGATGTCCGCATCTTTTTTCCGGACATGTCTCAACGCGCGGTCAAGGTTGCTTCTTATGTATATAGGCAGCCCATTTACGACGATCGGCCTCGACGCTCTCGAGACACCCCATGCATACGACAGCGCAAGGTAAGAGGGATTCGAGTCCAACGCCACACATCCAAGGTGACAAGTTATAGTCGCGTCAAAGGTTCCATGTTCAACTGTGATTAGTCGAATGTAACCTGTCCTAGCCCGTAGAGGTACCTGTTCCCCGTACAACGGATTTTTCTGAGATAGTGTAGGATGCATAGCGTTCGTTCAAATTTCATCCTCAATTCCGGGTTCGCAACCTTTAGAGTGTGGAAGATCCCAAGCAACCGCTGGACGGTCGATATTCAGTCTTGCGACTGTGCGCTAATTGGATGTCAGCTGGAGCTACAGTTTCTCATATCTGCTGACCGGAGTCGTAGCCGAAATCGATTAAGTCCCGAGGCAGTGTTATGTACCTGCAGGTCGACATGCTGTTTACCCCGCAGGCTGAGCACACAAAGTGGCGCGCGAGCCAGCTGCGCCGCCTTTCTTCTCCGACTGCAACTTGATTAGGCAGTCATTGGGCCTTGAGCTATTAAAGAGCCACCAACCCTTGATTGTCAGACTTGAGCCACCGTCACGTTGTCACTCTGCATGGCTTGTGAGTGATGGAAAAAGTAAATCGCAAATCTGAAGTCCAGTCAATATCACTAGGTGGTGAGAAATGATGAATCGCATTGAGACGGTTATATGGAAGGAACCTCACAATTCCAATGAAGTATGACATCAAGAACATGACCATAACCCTCCGTATGGTAGTTCTGGTTGCAATCAGACGGATGAAATACTTGTGAGGTATTGTACAATGAAGCGAGCGAAACCCTGTCGTGAAGCCGACGGATTGACTTTCTTATTTGTCCATGCGAGAAGGGGAAATACCAATACAACAGAGACTCTCACTGTCTAAAGTAATATCAACAGACGCCGCCGATACTCATTAGAGTATGATGTTGCTGCGAATTCAGTTGCAGTAGAGTCTCTCCATACTAGGCAAGTGCCT